TTGCTGAGACACAGTAGGCAACATGAATATGCTCAGTCTCCCTATTTTCCACACCTCAGAAAGATTTCAGTTAGGGTTAGTTCACCCAGGATAGTTTTACCAGTATAATTATATGGTACAGTTTTAAAAAAAGCAATATAATTCAATTAGTATAAACCTCAGAGACAGCTTCTTATTCCAGTGTAGGAGTCATTATATCTTTGGTATAGCTTAAATCCCTTGCCAAACAACACTCAAGTGGCAAAGTTCTTCTTACACTGGAATAAGAATGTCCATATATACCAGGATAATTACTGTGGTTTAAAATTCACACTTTATTGTTTACCTAGATAGCTTTCCCATGTAGGCAAACCTCAAAACACTATAATCTGCATTTTAGTGTTGCCGGAATAAAAAAATAGCAACAATTTTCCTTTCGAGGAACAATGGTCACAAGTTGACAGAGAGCAGATTTAGGCTAGATATCAGGAAAAACTTCTTCACAGTAAGGGTGGCCAAAATTTGGAATGGGCTTCTAAGGGAGGTGGTGCTCTCCCCTACCTTGGGGGTCTTTAAGAGAAGGCTGGATAGGCATCTGGCACCTGCCCCCAGCCCTCTTTCCTGCCTGGGCAGGGGGTCGGACTCTATGATCTGTTGAGGTCCCTTCCGACCCTAGCATCTATGAATTTCACCTGACTAGGTTAATTTGATTTTAATTCTTTCCTGTTTTTGGGAGGTGGGGAGGAAGGGGAGAACTTTTAAACTTCTTTTGCTTTACTGTTGAACCTCTAACAAAGGAAAGCTGCTTGTTGCAATAAGGTCAGATCAGAGCCCTGTGCCCAGCCAGTCCCAATCAGAGAATCAAGGCAATTCATTCCCTGAGGCTATAGAGGAAGCAATCTGGCAAACCCAGATCAGTGCCCTGGGCCCAGCTGGTTCTAGTGAGGCAATTAGGAGAGCCGCAGTGATTGCCCCCACTAGAGGCCATCCTAAGGCTGCACTCATTCCAGCCCTTAAAAGCCAGACTCAGGCTACAGTATTCTGTCCTGACAAAGACTTAGATACTTGTTCCTGGCTTTCCTTGCTTTACTACTTGGATCTCTGGCCCCGACTCTTGGCTCACCTGGCTTGGCTCTGGCTTCTGATTCTGGTTCCGACTCCAGCTCTGAACCCTGCCTTATCTCAACTCACCTCTGGCTCACCCTGACTTGGCTCTGGTTCCAGTTCGGATGCTTGGCTCACCCTGACCTTGGCATCAGCTGCTATTTCCCCTGACTTGATCTTCAGCCTCCCAGTTCCCTGGGAACCTGTCCCATGAACTCTGCCCATGTACCCAATAACTTTCCCTGACTGGTCATACCCCAGTTTCCAACACTTCGGGGAGGAGAGGTGTGGGGTGATGTAGAACTTGTGCTGCCAGTGCCCTCACAGCCGCTGGCATGCTTGGCCTAAGCATGCCAAAAGGCGAGAGGATGAGACTAGAACAGGATGTTCTGTGCTGCTCCCATGTGCTCCAAAAGGTCTTTGGTAGCCAGCACAGGAGTCTGTCGGTTCAAGCCAGGTTCTGAGATTAACTGTTTTCCCTCAGCCTGTAGTGTGTGTGTCTGTGTGTGTGTGTGTGTGTGTGTCTGTGTGTGTGTGAATCAATTTGTGACCTCCTGCATAGTGCTGTTGCACTTTCCATAAAGGGAACACAATCAAAATAGGTCCCTGGAATTAGAAAGCCAGAAGAAGTCACTGGGTGTGTCTACATGTTCACTAATACTCTGTAAATACAACTCATTAAGTTTAACACCTCTAATAACAGGTACTAACTTAATGCACCATAATCAGAGCTACTGTGCAGTAGCACCAACACATTTTTTTTGTAACACTAATGTACAGTAGACTAATTCTACTGCACATTAGCATGGTTTTTGCCTGCTGCGGTAATGCGTAGCAGAATTAGTCTAGCATCTCATGTAGATGGGCCCACTGACTTACAGCAAAAGCTTTGTTATCTGGCATCCCCTGGAAATGGGGAATGCCAGTTAATCAAATATGCACCATCTGGTGCACTCCCCAGCATCAGTGTGCTGGGGGACAGGGAGGGGGGCCCACACAGGCTGCTTTGCCCTGGGTCTTGGGCCGAAGTGAGGAAAGAGAAGAACTCAGCTTGTGGCAGCAAAACCGGAAATGGGACTTCCGGTTTTGCTTTTGCCATGTCCCTTGGATGCTGGCTGGTGGAGCTTTGTGGTTGATAAAGTGCTGGATAACACTGCTTTTGCTGTAATTACCTTTCTGGCAAGGAATTACACTGGCTGATTTCATTAGCTGTTGAACTCCCATATGTAATTGTTACCCTGTTGCATCCTTTAAAAGGAAAGAAAAACAGTCAAGGTGATGCCTGGTCCTTGTCACAGCAAAAGAGAAGAGACAAGATGGTAGAAAGTTTTTATTAAGTGATACTAAATTGGAACCAGTGTTCACGACGGTGTTTCACAACTTTACATGGTTTAACCTCTAAATATAGACCATTTTCAACAGTAAATTCACTACAGAGCTGCACATGATAGTCCAATTGCACAGTTGCAGGCAACACTACTATTTTACATTTATCTGGTCCACTGGCTCCAGAGTGCTGCCTTACCAAGACACAACTACTTCTATGATGAAAGGTATTTTTCAAGCTGCATGCAGCATGTTGCCCAAAGGGGTTACTGAATCAGGGATGCTAGCTCAGTTGGAAGATGCTAGGGGTACATGTACAATACATCCTCACTGTACAGTTGGCTTGAAGGACTGGCTTTCAGGCCAAAGCATCCCAGTAAATCACACTGAAATGCCTTGTCTAAGTTAAGGCGTCTTTGCTGTGTGTCATCTCCTGGGGCACATCCCGGGGAGATCTGAACTGCTTTATCATTCTTTCCTGGTGACTTACA